ATGGGCACGCTCTGGAGTGCGGGTAACGAATATCTGCACTCCAGTTAACGCCACTGTACATGTATATGTATACTATTTAACTCTGACACATTTTCAACAGAAAATCCCCAAACTATGATACAAGTAAATAAAGAGCATCGAACACTAGGCCTATCTGATTTGTACGAGGGGGCGATAGCCCTGAGTATAAGCAGATTGCGAGTGTTTTGATGTTCTTTCGCTTTTGTATCATAGTCAAACATAAAAACACATTCCCTGTTGTCGCAATATGAAACCCCGGAGAAAAGTGACCAATGAGCGAGCATCTGATATGATATTTCTGTATCCCTTTCTCTGCTGTCGCATATGTAAACCCCAGCAAAAATAACCTATCAATGGGCATGCTCTGGAGTGAGGGTAACTTAATAATCCCTGCACTCCAGTTAATCACACTGTGCATGTATATGTATACAATTTAACTCTGACACATTTTTCAAACAGAAAGGTCCCCAAACTACGATTGACAATTTTGATTTAACACATTTTCCAGTCACTATATATCTATTATTGTTATGCACACGATGAGAAACTTATAAACATTCCACTTTTCAATTAAAACAATTTAAATATAGAACAAATCAATATTATAAGTTTCAATGTATTTTCATCAAGTTTTTTTGTAATTACATCAAGGACAAGATCTGCCAGTATGATTGAAATGTTCCACAGCTTTACTCCTAATTAAGAGGTTAATACAATATTCAGACAAATCTTAAACAATATTCGGTATCTATAATTTGTATCATAGTTTGGAGACCTTTCTGTTGAAAATGTGTCAGGGTTAAATCTTATACATATACATGCACAGTGCGTTAACTGGAGTGCGGGTATTAGTTACCCTCACTCCAGAGCATGCCCATTGATTGGCTCATTTTTGCTGGGTTTTACATATTGTGACGGCAGAGAAAGGGAAAGCGACAGAAATGTCATATTCAGATGTTCGTTCATTGGTTCATTTTTGCCGGGGTTTCATATTGTGACAACAGGGAACGTGCTTTTATGTTTGACTATGATACAAAAGCCAAAGAACACCAAAACACTCGGCAATCTGAGTAATACTCGGGGGCTACGCCCCCTCGTTCAAATCAGATAGCCTCGTGTTTCGGTGCTCTTTCTATTACTAAATTAACAAAACTTAACTTCAAATTTACTTTGCACAAGTTGCATTTGCTTGTTATAAAAATTTAGATATATAGCTGCTTTTAGAAGATGCAAAATATACATTAAATATCATAGAGACTTACTTTAGAATGACTAAAATACACACACCTATGCAATAATTAACAACATTTTTAAAAAACTTTAATAATATGGCATATACATGTAATGTAATGCTATAATAGGTAGCACAATTTAATATAAACTTGAAATGAACATTGACCCCTAATGAACTGGCCTAAAACCCGGTAACTACTCAAAATTTCTATCATAAATGCTATAATGGGTATGCACTACATAGATATTTAATTAACAATCTTTATAAAAATCACTTATCGTAATAAGTTTCTTACACAAGAATTTTCTTAAGGACTCATGTGTCATTTTTAAACTACATTATTCTTGTGACTGTTCAATACTAGTTTCATGTGGCAGAAAAGCATAGAAAAAATGGTTTGCTCTAGGAATGATGTTATCAAGGCACAGAGTAACAAGATCATTAAATTTATCAGCACTTATCTTTTACATAGTCATTTCTTAATTTAGCCAGGCCTAAAATAAGTCATTAGACCCTAAAGGTATGCTGGCAATATGACGTCTGATAGGTGACACTAAGACTTACGACTTCAAAAGACATAATCGTATAATTGTATTTAAACTTATATTTATTTGGTTCATCAGACTCGACTTTAAGTACTCTAACTTGACTTATGAATACCGTTCGCCTTTCTTCATTCAAGTTAAAAATTTTCAAACACTAATATAAAAGTTTAAAGTAAAAAAATCAATCATGCAAGGACATCTCATGAACTTTGTGGTTTACTTTGTGGATCAGCAGTGATTTTTCTCGCTTTATTGGGAAGAGGCCTTAGCCTCTTGATTTTGGGAAAAATTATCGCTAAAATTGCTGATTTGGGAAGTAAAAAAGCTGGTTTGAGTTCAGATTTTTGGGAAAACTGCATGATTTTAAAGAAAATTTCAATTGGGAAGAGGCCTTTTTTTGGAGTCTGTTTATAAAGTAGGAAAATCACTCGGATGCCTGCGTCTAGCTGTTTGTATAATACCTGCCCACTGACTAGTTGTGTAAAAGTTTAAGATTAAACCAAAGTTTCATCAATCACAGAATCTAACTTAAACTCCATCAGGATCACTACCACCCTTAACACTCTCACTAAGTAATTTGCCATCTGACCTAACAGCTTTCTACTGTATCCTCACATAGCATCACCACTACCATTTACATTCTCAATAACTAATTCACTATCTGACCTACAACTTTCTACCATATCTTCACCTAGCACTGTATCAAACTTAACTATATTAGCATCACCACTACCATTTACATTCTCAATAACTAATTCACCATCTGACCTACAACTTTCTACCATATCCTCACCTAGCACTGTATCTAACTTACACCACTACCATTTGCATTCTCAATAACTAATTCACCATCTGTCTACCTACAACTTTCTACCATATTCTCACCTAGCACTGTATTGACCTCAACATGATCAGCATCACCACTACCATTAATAAAAAATTTTATTCTCAATAACTAATTCACAATCTGACCTTCAACTTTCTACCATATCTTCACCTAGCACTGTATCTAACTTACACCACTACCATTTACATTCTCAATTACTAATTCACCACCTGACCTACAACTTTCTACCTATCATCTCCCAGCAATGTATCTAACTCAACTCGGTCAGGATCACTTTCACACTCTCACTAAGTAATTTTCACCATCTGACTCACATCTCTCAACCATATTTTCTCCTAGATCTTGTGTCTACCTCAACTCTATCATCATCTGTGACCACCCTTTATTTTATAAACAGGCTAAATCATCATATGATTAAGAACCTTCAATCGTATCATTAACTAGCTCTGTATTTAAATAATCTTTTTTTTCAAGATCATTAATACTAGAAAATTTCAAACTCAGACTTGTCTGTGTCATCTGATTCAGATAAAAGTTAATTTTTCATTTCTTCTATCAAGTAAAGATGACAGGGCATATTCACCTTCACTCAGTGTTGTAAAACCTGACAAATCACTAGAAGAATCTGAAAAGCAGTCAGAAATCTTTACCTGTTATTATTGTTACATGATTAATTTTCAAAATAACTTCAGTGCATAAGGGCTTAATCTAATGTTGTAAGAACTTGGGTCAACCCATTTGCATTTTGATATATACTCATTATTTGTATGATATATTTGTAAACATGTATTAAATGAAATAAAATATGTTTTAAACTAAACTAGTGCATATAAGAGAAGAACTGATGATGAGAGGTGTCGAATAATAGATATTAAGTTTTCCAGACAGGAGTGTCCAGTCAAAACTACCATATCCCTTTAACTCAAGACATCCCACATTCACATAAATACCAATCAAAATAAGAAATAAATAAATGTATTTATTCATTTAATTATTTACTCATCTGCATTCATTGTTATATGAAAAAAGGACAAAGTTTTACACAAAATTGATGACATCACTCATGATGTAATCATACTTAAAGTTTTAAGTGAGTACACTTACACTAAATTAATATTTAAACCTCTTTGAAAACTTGGATTGTGAATATGAAAAACAGTGTATGTGACATATGCTTTATAACCTGCATATTTTTTCCTCTAAAATGTTGTCCATTTTGCCAACAATCACTAACATTGTGTCAAATACTTTTTAATATTAAATAATTCAAAACAATTTTACATACTTTCATCACTTAAACATTTTGCTTATAAATGTATTGGAAAAAATTTGAATGTGAAACTGATGTAAGTGCCTTTGTCACTTAGTCTAGTTTCACATTTAAAAAAATGGGGCACTTTCACTTACATCATTTGTCATAAATATGAGATAATCTTATTTAATGTTGGAAATCATAGAAAAAACTTATACAGGGGACAGATATGTTATTTCTAGACACAATTATAGAAAAAAGTGATTTTTGCTAAAAATGTCACTTACACTAGTTTCGCGTTAAGCCCTCGATATGTACTTGCATAAGATCAGCTAAAAATCGAACGCTAAACAATATACATTTATTAACAAGATGAGTATTATCGCCGCCTAAATTGTAGCGCAGTTCCATATATAATAAATTCACTCGCTTTCAATTTGAGTATACAAATTTAATTAATATGATACAACAATAAAACTTGAGTTCAACATAAAATTACATCTTGCGACATTTAACGGTAGTGTTGCGACATTTAACGGTAAGGGAAATTCGTGCGACATTTAACGTTAACATTGCGACATTTAACGGCAAATGATTTTGCGACATTTAGCGGCGGTTGCGACATTTAGCGTCAATGGTGCGACATTTAGCGGCATGTGCGACATTTAGCGGCGTTGCGACATATAACGGCGCCACAATGACTAATATCGTTTCTTGACCTAACCTCATTTTGAATTATCAAATTTGACATCTTCTGTTTCAAATAACCAAAAATATTGTTGTCAATTACGCTTTTCTTTTGTTTTGTTCCTCTTTATTTCAAAAAATGTGTTTGTTTCTTACCACTTCTTAAGTTAAATAAATCAATCAAAGTCTTCTTACATTTATGAAACTATATTTGTTGTTGTTGATCTTTATAAGTGACACAAGTATTTGTAAACTTTAGTGTGAAAAATATCATTAAATCTTATTTTATAATGTAATGTTTTAGATGACTTTTGAAACATTGTCAATTATACAGTTTATACCTTGAATATAGTTCAGTTAAACACGAGTGATTAACTGAATAATGTTGGCGTGAAAAGAAATTTAAAAGAAAACCTTGGTGATGGAACATAGCTCATCGGTGCAGACATGGCTGAGGACCTATTCCAGGTATCCATAATATGCTGGGTGTGTCCTCTGGGAGGTAAAGATGTAAACATAGGAGAGTTCATGCCATTCTCGTTTCGTTTTTTGTCGTCAGTTTTTCCTAAAAGTGTTTCAGAAAATTATTAAACCTTAAACCCCTGCTAAAGTGTAATGTAAATTTTGCTCTGCTTTGAATTAAGAAAACGATTTAAATATAAAGGGGTTCCACTGGGTTCATTGACATGATGGAACTTGAAATATTTTAAGGTTGACGTACCACTTGATTAAATAACAGGTCAATAACGTGTAAAACGTCAGACCATTCGCTAATATCATTTTCTAGAATAATTATTCTAATTCTGAAAAATAACCACAATCTAAAATGTATTGCTATGCTTTTCATTCAGATTGGACAAGAATCGCACAATAAAACGAGATTCTACTTAATTTCTCATTTATATATATTTATTTTTTAAGTATTCCAGCTGATCTATGTAAGAAATTCAAAGTTTTTGTTTTTAAGCTTTTAGACCTCAGTGGAATTCCTTTAAAATGTAACCAAATTCAAATATTTAGATACCAAAAAAAGGAGCCTTGTCAAACTACATGGACGTGCAGGCTGGCCTTGCTTCATATTCTGTTGGCAAAAAGCTTATCAGTTTTGGTAACAGCATATTAAGGCTTAAAACTTTTTTTCTAGCTTGACACATTACTATCGCACTTTCCATACTCACTGATAGTGGAAAACCCAATAAATAAGACATCAAAATAGGGAAATATTTATGGTAATATCTTGTTTACAATAACATAAATGTGGCCATGGCTTAATGTTAAGCCTCTTAAAAAATTCCTAATTTTGCTCAATTGCTTATAAATTATAGGTAGCGTACATAAGTATGAATCATGGAGTGGCAAGTTTATTGCCTGAAAGTTGCACATTTTTAATTGTTTTATCTTTTCATATTCATAACGTTTTCAAGTGCTCTTCATCGCGGCTTTAAAACAACTGATACTAAAAATCACTAATTCAGAATGCCGCTGAATATTTCTATATACAAAATATTCTTTATCTATTTTTGCTTTCTATAGGATCTATGGTAAATTTAACCTGATATGATTTTCTTCAGTTTCCAAATGTATAACAATGCTAATCCTAGGGCTGTTCCAATGGCTGCAGCTAAAACTGACAAAGCAATAACAGCTGGTAATAAATTGCCATCATTGTTATTGCTCTCTGTTGACGAGGGTGTCGACACTAAAATCAGAGAAATGTTATGGAAGTATTAGTTTTTTTGTTTAGATCATTTCAACATATTCATGGTGTTTACACATGTCAGCAAATGTTAACGTTGCTAGAGTTGAAATTTATCAATCTGGAATTTATTTTGGTAAAGTTGTTTTAACATATTCATGTTGTTTATTCATGTAAGCAAATGGAAATGTTGCTTTACTTGGCATTTGTCAATGTGGTGCATATAGAAGATATATCTTGTTAAGCCTGTATGGGAACAATTGTGGAAAACAGTGTATAATTCAATCATAAATAGTCTGTCAATATGTAAACAACTTTGGTAAACAACGTGTAGTTCAACAAAAGAATCTGAAAAATTGATATAACTCTGGCTCTACCACAAGTACAATGGCCAAATATTGGTTGAAGAGGCCGGTTTTCTATTCATAATGATAATCTACGACCTTCTATGCTACCATTAGAACCTTTAGTGTTACCCAGGAAACCAACTGCATTATTATCAATTTAAGTGACAAAAGCTTGTTCAACATAGACCCATACATATCTAAATATATATCTAAACAAAACTTTACCGCATTGCGATGACTCCACACTAGAAGACCATGTCCCGTTGCTTTGACATTCAATGGATCCGCCGTTCTCAAGGGTATATCCACTTTCACAGACAAGTACAGCCGTTGACGTAGTGCCATCTGTTGATATTTCAAATTTCCCGCCAGAAGTTGAAAGAGCAGGACATTCAACTGTTGATTAAGATGATTAAGATTAACATCATGCAGCATTTATTTTCGGTTATATTTGATCTACGGTGAATTGGTTGGATTGATTAAACTTCCGATCCTAATTCATATTATGGACTTTATAGAATGATAATTAACATTCATTTAACGTATATAAAGATAATCTAGACTTGAAAAAAAATAAAGAAAACTGATGATGTCGTTTTAATTACCACAAGAAGTTGTTCCCGATGCAACAGTCCACACCCCACTTGCGTCACATGCAATAGTGACGTCACCACTTATAGTGGTACCAATGCTGCACGAGTATTTAGCTGACGTTGTTGTTCCATCAGATATCAGAGTGTATGAAGCAGACGATACGGTTGGAACGACGTCACACAGAGCTAACATCAAATGAAAATTTGTTATTATTTCTTGCAAGGAATTTTTTTGGATAAATAAAATAAAATTTGAATTGTTCTTAAAGATTTACCTTCTACAATTTACAAAGTTCTACAATGGCAATTTTGCTTTTGGTGTTATTCAGTAAAATATACTAGGTCTAAAATATGCATATTATCAAACATCGTTTGATCAGGCCTTAGAACTTATACAATTGGTCAAATAGATTGAAATTCTAAATCTATGATTACTGTTTAATATTTAGCTATCATATATTTTATACTTAGGTAATATATACGAAATATAAATTGTAAAGAATAAAAGATAAGGTATACAGCATGTCGGTGCAAGCGAGGACCATGATCCGTCTGTCTGGCAGTCTGAAGTTGTATCTCCATTCATTGTATATCCAACAATACACGAGTAATTTGCTACTGTTAAAGTCCCATTTGTTGATAAAGATACACTCCCATTGCCTGGCTCTATCAGTGAGGGACATCCGACTGAAATTAAATTTGACAGTTTCGTTGCTAGCAACGATGTCTTTCAAATGCAATCAATGTTACGCTAAATCTGTCTAGAGATAACGCAAGTCTGACAAAACTGTTATGCTATTTGCTGTTTATTGTTGTAATATTTTTAATGATATGTTTGAAACTTACACTGGATAGTCCGGGTTCAAAGGAGGACACGTTTACGTTTCACAAATCAGGAAGGTTTGGAATAAAATGTATCATGGAAAAGACACATATTCAGATTCAATCTTTAAGCAATAAAATCCACTAATGAGAATGTATATACAAATCAGACAAAGTTAGAATCTATTTCAAATAAATCATATTCAAAATATTTTGCAAGACAATAGCAAGAAAGAACTTTGTTGAAGGATATAGCCGATCAAAGAACAGATGTATTTCGTTACTAGAATGGATCGCTGTGTAACGTGATTTAATAACATATATACATATATGTATTTAAAGGTTTAACTGTTTTCCCTTCACATGGAAGCAGATGTCTAGTTAATTTGACAAACAAAACAATATACCACAGACAGGGTCATCACTTGACCATCCGGTTCCATCATCTGGACAAGTTCTTTTGCTGACTCCATGCAATGTAAATCCCAAGTTACATGTATAGACCGCTTGCGTTCTGTCATTGGAAACCGTCACTGTTCCATTGTCGGGTATCGACGGATCATTGCATTCTTAAACGAGCAAAACCAGACATTTAATACATCGTTATTTCATAGAAATCGAGAAAAATCATGATCCTTCGGAAGCAATGAAAATAACAAAATTATATAAAAATTGAAATCTCGGTTTGATTGAATCTGATTATGAGAGATGGTGTAAAAGTGCAACATTTGTCATGCTTCGTTACATTGGTGTTAGCCGTATTCAATTTTCTTTGAATCAATATTCGTTAATGACAAAAAAAACAACAACAATTCTTATTAAAAGTGAATTAAATGACACAAGTATGTAAATGTACAAGTTTGTACAATTTGGATGATTCCACACGATATATGGTTTTATGAAACACTGAAATACAAAATTAAAAAGCAGATGAAATAAGTTTCTGATATTTCTACAATTCGATATCAGTATAAAGGCAACAGTGAAGCACAAAGAAATTATCATCTAAATATATTCTGTATCGTTGTAAAAAAGGAACCACTCACGACATAGAGGGGGATTGGAATCCCACGATCCGGATATAGTACATTCAGCCGTGCTGTCGCCACTTATAGAATACCCAGGTGCACAATAATGTATTGCTGTTGTTGTCGTATTGTCAGTAGTTATTGTAACATTTCCACTTGCTATGTCAGACAGTGCTGGACATGATGCTACAAAAGAAAATGTAATTTACTAATTACACGTTAGATAAATGATAAAAATTATTTTGCAAATACAATGTAGATCATCAAATGTTTAATGAGATAATAAGTATAAATAAACCCTGTGTTGTATGGTCCTTCAATACAACAGAAAACCAAGGAAATATATTTATCAAAGTGCGCACTAAGGCCCGGCATGCAAGTTATGACTTAATGAAATATAAGTAATTATTTGTTAGGATGAATAGGTGTTGAAATGGGAATGATATAGAATAGTGGCTTCTATATCAAACTGTAAAGAAATATAACACATAAATAACAGACAATTACAAAAGAAATATACAAATACGAGGACAAAATGATACATTAAACGATATTCGTTAAATTCGAATATCGACCTTATGCCACCTAAATTACTCGAACCTTTTTAATTCAAATTATCAGATTAGTTGACTACAAGATGGATTTTACCAAATCGTATTTGATAACAAAAGAGCATATGTCAATCTATTGACATTCAATTAAAAGTAACTGTTATCAATTCAGTCTTCTTATCATACTATTTTTACTTTATAAAGCCAAAAGGTCATCCATATTCAAATAATCACATCTTTTTATCATATATTTTAGTTTAAAAACAGAAGCACTTGTATCAAAAATGCAAATCATTAATATCCAAAACTATCTTTATTTTTCTTATCCTATTCTTATTTTCTAGTTTCTATATCTAAAAGATGTAAACGTTCAAAAAGCCTTTTCAGTGGTATCTTTTTATGTTTATTTTCTCTAAAAGTAAAGTTCATAACATACTACACGTTGGCGCGTTATTTGTCCAGGTTGAGTCAGTTCTACATGTTCTAGAAGAATCTCCGTTCAAAGTTGTACCCGCATCACACGAATAGGTGGCAACCGTCGTGATACCATTGCTGGATAATGTAACTGAACCATCTGTAGGTTCAGCTAATGTTTGACATGCATCTGCAACATAATTATACATGTACATACCAGTTTCTTTTTTTCAATATCTACGTATTTATCACTTGCTCACTTCTGTACATTTGAAGTATGTCATTTTAAGCAACACTTTCTGTCATACAGTAATAAGGGACATTCCTGCCATACAAAAATAATGGATTTGATTAATTACATTATATTTGAATATGATGTTCAATAGTTAGCATAAAGGCTATCGAAATAATGAAAAAATAAAATAAAGAAAATTATAAAAAAAAGGTGGCAGTGTTTATTTTCAAAAGTACAATACCGCATGTAGGAAAAGCGTCAGACCATTCGTTTGTCACTGTATTGCAGGTAAGTGTCGCTGTTCCAATCAGGACATAACCAGTTTCACAAGTAAATGATACAGTCAGCCCGGCATCTTTTACCTCATATTTACATACTGTCAGGATACAGAATTGACAATAGATATATTAAGAACAAAGCATTATTTTGAAGCATTTCTCAAGAAAGAGACCCTAATTTTTTATCAATTTAAACTTCAAAGTAATACATAATACTATTCCAAGACAATATAATTTTTAATTTTTTCTAATGTATTGTAACGATGAATTGTATTACCAGTAAATCTTTATAGCATAAATAACACTTAGGCATGGTTCTAACCGAAGGTTAAAACCGAACAAAAATTTTAACGTTAACAATTTTTGCATTGCTTTGTCCATTTTATGAGTGTTTATCTTTTTTTCCATACAGATGGAACTGATTGTATTTTGTTATTAGATGTGTAGACTTAATACCTACATAAAAGGATCAGTATCTAGACACTGTCATTGAGTTCATATTCTTGTTTTCATTTCCAAACTTAAGAGTTACGTTGCGTCACACAGTACGGTTGCGAGGTTACGCACATTGCTTGATATATTTGACGCTCCACGAAGGGTCTTAAGACTGACAGGGTGCTATGAAAATTTCTATCTTTTCTCATAATTAGTTTTAACAGTATAACATACAAACATGTTAAGCACATTCAAATTTGCCAGAGTATGTGAGATATAAGACTAGTATATGTATTAAATTTTGTTGACATAAACTTGCATTGAATTACTAGTTTTTATTGTTATTTAAGAGGATGCTTATCCTACTTACGTGTGAATTTAAAATACCGGCAAGAATGTTATATTTGCTTTCCAGAAATATAAATTTCATAGCCCAGTGAAATTACTCTTAATGTTGCTGTTGATTGACTTTTATTTGTGGATTGTTTTAGTTTCCATCTATTATATAACGTTTATTCAATAGTAAAAAGATGGTAAATTATTAATTTTTAAAATAAATTCCCATGATAACCAGAGTGTATTGCTTAATAACACAACTGTATTTTCAACATTGTATACAAACTTGTAGAAATTGGAAATAAAAGAGATAGGTGTTTAGTAAATGTCAACTTACGACAGGGATCTGAAGAAAAAAAAATAAGTGCAATTATTAGAAAGTCTATTGAAACACTAATTTAATGATAAAATATGTTAATAGGTGGATAATATAATAAATTATTATAAACGTTTAAAAATTATGTTTAACTTTTGGAGTATTCCTCCACTATCTTATATTTATGTAATATGTATACACTCTCTCAAGTTCCCGGATTAAATATATGGGTTTCTGGATGTAAAACATTATTTTTAATTGAGGGGTTACATATACTGGTAATATAAGGTTATTCTGGCCTATTAAACTATTTACTTTATTAATTGATAGATTACAAATATGAATCGATTCAAAAAATGACATGCCATGTTAAGAAGAAATAAATCGTGCAAAAGAACGTCAACTATACCTCCCGATGGGCTCAAACTCCAAACTGCACCAGTTTCCACACCAGAATTGTTTGTCGGTACATCGGTCGATGTTTGGCCTGCTTTGCAATGTTGTGGTGTTACAGACAAAGATGTCCCGTCAGAATTTATGTTCTAAAGAACCAGAGCATTAATCAATTTGCCATTAAAAGGCTATAAATCAGCGTTCTTGTTTACATTATATCAGTCCTATCCATTATTCTTGATAGAAAGTTCTCTCTAATGTTGAACTATTCATATTTAAATGCATTATTATTGCCTTGTTTTTCAATGATTGATGTTTTGCCATGCCAAAAAGATGCGAGCACCCCAGAGTGATCTTTTTTGGAGAATACAACATTCTTTAGGTTTGAAAACCGAAAGCCCGGCAATATGAACCTTTATTGATATATTTGTGCTGCATATGAAATGAGTTTTATTAACAGCACTTATACATATATCTGACTATATGTGGGGTATTCTATTTAAATTGTGACATTGTACAAACTTTTACAATGCGATATTATTAAAATACTAACGAAATAATAGCAGTTGATCAAGGTGCGAAGCACAAGTGTTAAACTGTTGACAACTATAGTAATATGAGACACAGTATATAGGATATTACGAAATAGAGTATCTAACATTTCAGTGTCACCTATTTCTCGTGGCATCTAAACCTACTTTAATTATGTCTGTTGTGGATATTCTGCATTTTTCTGGTTTTCATCATTTTCTTTTGCGCTAATTGGTATTCGAATCTACCACGATTTTTGGGATCTATTACTTTTGTTTAGTCACCATCTTGCATCGATTTGCATTAAAAGGCATTGAATGGATCCATAACGTCAAACTACAATAACTTAGCAGGATTATTATTTAATTCACACCACAAATTGATGAGTTATTTGTTATAGAATTTCATGTTATCATTTATGATAACAATGTATCGGAGCCCTCATCCACCAATTCTTACGCACAATGAGTAATTTCAACTGAATAAAGTCTCTTTCATTGATAAAAGAATTCGATTGATAGTGGAATGTTTAATCTGTAAGCAATAATGTGGGCAAGTTGGATTGTTTGTGTATGAAGAAATTGTTTTTCGTTGTAAGTTGTATGTTGCTTTTTATTTTTTTAATACTTAAAGTCAGGGTTAGAAACATTTATTATATTGTGGTTTGTGTGTATTCGAGAGATCACTTGTTTCGAGACTAGCATTTTAACTAAACATTAATCAAATAAGTGTCAAAATAATGTCATGACAAAATCTGAGTGATATTCTCAAACAGTGGCAATCTATTCGATTCTCAATTAAGTTATATCTTTTAAAATTTTAGACACTGTAACTAGAACTTATAGTATTTGATATAAAATGTTGATACCAAAGGCGTCTTGCATGACATTGAAGTAGATAAATAACACTTCTGGTACTAGCTCTGCTTGGCCATATCACGTTTACAAAGCAAACATCAGGAATCGTGTGAATTATTTTGTTCTCCGCGGTATTGATTTAAACGACATGAAGCGCCATTTAAAATATATGACTTAAAAATGAAGAAACATTTCCTGAACATATCCCCAACAATATACGAGCGAACAGAGCACGGACAGCAAACAGGAATATAAGGCCCATGCAAGATATTAAATACCAACAAACCAAGTATGGATGGTTGACGAAAACAAGAAATAATAGATGGAAGAGTGGATACACCAAAAATCATATGATCATATGAAGATTTAAATTTACATAATTACTTACTTGTGTACATTGGATAAGGCGAACAACTCAATGGCTGGACTGATATCTCTGTGGTATTTGTACACATATTCACGTTTCCTATATCATTGGAATTACAAGAGTCAGATCCATCCGTCTTGGAATACGTGAATGTATAATCCGCCAATAAGTTATAGGGACAAGTAACCTTTGCAAAGGCTTCAAATCCTACAATAAAATAGGGGTGTTTTAAAAGCTATTGTGTTGGTTTTATTTCCCTTTTCTGTTGTCATTTTTATTTCTTGATGAGTTATTGAAACTACAAAGAAGAAAATGTTTTGTTTAGGGGTTTTTGTTTAAAATCATTTTCTTAAAAACTTTATATTGCCCTTTTCCCCGGATACGGTTAAAAATTTAAAACCGAAAAAGGGAAAAACATTAAGTTAAAAAAAACTTTAAAATTTATTTTTCTAATTTTACAATTTAATTTTTTTATTTTTTAATTGCTTTAAATAAACTTTCCCAAATTTATTATTCCAAAAAAGCTTAAATTTTATATTTTGTATATGCATTAATGTTAAAAATTTCCTTTTAAAGTTAAAAGGGTTTTTCCTTTTTTTCAATTAACCCGAAATCCCCCGCCCGGATGGGTGTGTAACAAAAAAAGGAAAATTTTTCAAAGAAATATTTCGATTAAAAGTTTCCGCTTTTTCTAAAATGTATTGGGTTGCTTTACAAAAATAAAAGTTACTTTTAGTAATTGTAAAACAAAATTTTTTGTGCTTTTTTATTTTCAGAATGATCTAAATGATTTAAATTTTTAAAATTTACATAAATTTGGGTTTTTTAGATTCGGCTTTTAAAGAAATGGAGTGGAACCCGAGCAAAAAACTTTAGAAAAAATGGGTTTTAAAATTTAATTGGGTTGAATTTGGGACGAAAATTAAAAAGTGGGGGGGTATTTGATAGAAAAGGGAAAAAGGAAATGGGGCCCCGATGGGTGGGGCAGATGGGTTTGGATTTCGGGGGGGGTAGGATGTGGGAAAAAAAGGGGGAAGGGGGGAAAAAGAACAGTTTGGGGCGGCTGGGATGTGGGTGGAATTTAGGTTTGGAGAAAGAGGAATTTATGGGTTTGGATGGGTGTTTGAAATAGATGGGATGGGTTTTGAGGGGAAAAATTTTGGTATTTGGATTTTTATAAGGGGGGTGCGATTTGGGCCCGCATTTTCTAATTCATTATTTTTTTAAATTTGACTTAGATAGCCCTTTCCTTTTAAAAATTTTTAATTTTGGGTGTTGCTGAAATTATTTTATCTGGGACCCCCATATTTTAAACCCCAAAATTTTAAAATGCAAAAGGGGGGGCAAATACAAAAAATAAAAAAACGGAAAAGACAAAAACTCCCCTTTTGTTTTTTTTTAAATCTATGGAAAAGATCTGTTATTTTTTCCCAGAAAAATGCAAAAGATACCCTGTAAAATTTTCTGTTAAAGAACTGTAGAAACCAATTTAAACTGTCAAAAAAAGAAAACTGGTTTTAAAAGATTATCAAAAAAATTTAAAAAAAAAATTTGTTTCTTTTTTCCCCAGAGTTTTTATTGTTTTTTAAAAATTTGAATTTCGATATGGTTTACTAATGGAAAATAGTAACTAAAAAAATTGTGAAAATCAAAATTTGATGTGAATTTTTCCCCAAAGGGGAATTTGTCCCCTTTTAGTTTCTACAAAGTATCAACTTAAATGCTTTTTAAAAGGGTTTGGTCTGTGTGTTTTTTTAAAAACAAAACGCTGTCCGTTATTAGCAAAACAAAGCAAAAGGGAAGGGTATTGTTCGCGAAAAGCGCAATTTTGCCTTAGGGAGAAACATAAACGCCCTTACTAAAAAATGTGGGTTTGCCCCTTCATAAAAATTTTGTGCGAAATTTTGCCCAAACGAAGGGTTTCAAATTTTATTTTTAAAAAAACCCAGATATTTAAAACAAAAACGGGAAAAGAAAGGGGCGAAAAAAACCCTTATAAAAGATCCCAAAAATTCCCCGGGCCTTGGCCCAAACTTTTTAAATTTTGTATTCGCATTTGAAACCTTTAAATTGTTTGATTTTTTTTAATTTTTTCGAAAATTTTTTTTTTTTATACTTTTATAACAAGAAATTTTAATGGGGAAGTAGAATTTTAGCAGTTAACAGTAGCCAAAAAAAGGCATTTCGATTTATATGGGGAAAATAAATTTATCTTCTGTTATCCCTCAGCTGGGAAGGGCCAATTTTAACAGAGCTTTCCCAAAAAATAAAAGTGAAAGAAATGCTTTGCTGGAAAATGCTCAGCGGGGTTAAAGCAATCAAAGGCCAGCCATTACTAAAAAAGGGGAAAAAATCCCTCTGCGGGTATCCCTTTAAAGCGGCTAGGCAATCTGCGGGGCTTTCCCAAAATAAAAAGCGTAAAAAATGCTCTGCGGGAAATGCTAAAGCGGGCCCTAGGCAATCTAGCAGGGCATTCCTAAATATATTTGTAAAAATACCCCTGCTGTTTTTACCCCAGCTGGCTAAGCAATCTAGGGGGGCTTTCCCAAAAATATAGTGTAAAAAGCTCTGCTTTTTACGCTCAGTTTGGCTGGGCCCTTTCTAAGGGGGCATTCCAAAATATAGGAAAAAAGGGCTCTGCTGTTATGCTCAGCTGGTTTAAGCAATCAAAGGGGGAAAAATTCCCCAAAATTTTAGTGTAAAAATCTTTGCGGGAATGCTAAGCGGGCCCTAGGAAAATCTAGCAGGAATTCCTAAATAAAAAAAATGTAGTGAAAAAATGCTTTTGGGGGTAGGCTAAAAGCGGGCCCTGGGCCCAATCTAGCAGGGCATTCCTAAATATATTTAAAAAAAATTACTTGCTTTTTATATTCAGCTGGCTAAGCAATCTAGGGGGCCCATTCCAAAAAAATAGTGAAAAAAGGGCTCTGCTTTTTATCCCCAGCTGGCAAGAAATCTAGGGGGGCTTTCCCAAAAATTTTAGGGGAAAAAACCCTCTCTGTTATCCCTCCCCGGGGGGGTTTAAAGCAATCAAAGCGGGGCAATTCCCAAAAAATATTGGGGAAAAAAATGCTTTTGGCTGTTTGCCCCCTTAAATAAGAAATCTAGGGGGGCTTTCCCAAAATTTATAGTGTAAACATGATCTCGGGTTTTGCTCAGCTGGTTTGGGCCCTTTCTAGAAAAGGACATTCCTAAATATGGGGGTGTAAAAATGCTTAGCTTTTAAATGCTCAGCTGGCAAAGAAAATTTTAGGGGGGTTCTTTTCCAAAAATGTAGTGAAAAAGTTTCTCTAAATTTCCCTCAGCGGGGCTGGGGCAATCTAGAAGGGCTTTCCCCTAAAAAATAGTGTTAAAAAATGCTCACGGCTAGGAAAACCCAGAGAGCTTTCCAAAAATATAGTGAAAAAAATGCTCTGCTGGCAAGTTTCACTGGCTAAGAAAATCTAGCAGAGGGGCCCAAAAAATTTTAGGGGCAAAAAAAAGCTCTGCGGTATCTCACCCTAGCAAAGAAATCAAAGCAGGGAATCCTAAATATAGTGTTTAAAATCTCACGGGTTTAGGCAATCCAGCAAAGCATTCTAAAAAATTGGGTGTAAAAATGTTCTGTCGGAATCCGGGACCTGCCCTTGGGAAAAACCGGGAAAGGGCTTTCCTTAAAAAAAAGTAAAATTTCCCTTTTTGTCGGGCAACTGATTTTTTTGGCCTCTTTAAATTTTCCCCAAAAATATTTAGTGCCAATGCGGGAAAAAAAGGGAACTTTTTTACTTCTACGGGCCCCCTTAAGTCCCCCTTTTTCCCTTTGGTCTCCGCCGATCCCCCGGGACTTTAAAGGAATTTTTTTGGTGTTAATGCGGATAATCATTTGTAAATTTTTAAGGTTTAAACCCCAGAGTCCATTTCTTTGGGTTTCTGCGAATGTTTCTGGAACATTTCGCAGTTTCAAAAAATTTTTGGTTTCCAATGGAGAAATGACATTTTTACTTCAAAAAGGGCCCTCCTGAGTCCCCATTTCGTTGGTCTGGGGACCCAATTCTGAGTCACTCGGGAGACTTTCAGGGGAAATTTTTGGGGGTCAATTGGGAATAAAAAATATTTTGAAATTTTTGGGACCTTTCTGAATCCCTTTTTTTGGTCTGCGACTGGGTTCTGGGCCCCTCAAAAGCTTTTTATGAATTTTTATGTCAAGGGGGGGATAATACAAAAATTTTTTCTTCTAGGGGGCCTCCAGGGCCTTTTTTTTGGTTTTTGTGGGCTTAAAACTTTGACCCGTCACAGACTTTCCCGGGGAAATTTTTTTGGGGGGGCCCAATTTGAGATAATTAAAAAATTATGAATTTTTTTTTACCATCCCCGATCTATTTCGTTTTGGGCCCGCCCACTTTTTAATTTTGGGCCCCCTTGAAAAATTTCAGGGTTTTTTGGTTTCTAATGAAAATAATGGGCATTTTTTGGGAAAAAAGGGTTTTGCCCTTTTTGGGCTAAGGGGTCCTTAAAAAATTAAAAAAATCTGATCTTTCAATTTGGGACTAAAAATCCTGAAAGTCTGCGAGTCTTAAGGGAAAAAAGTCGCCGGGCCCAAGAAATGTTTCTCTGGCCGGGTTTTTCCCAAAAGTCCCAAAAAAGTCATTATCCCCCTTGGCATCAAAATTACTGAAAGTCCCCGCCAAAATGGGCCCAAAATCGTTCCCCCAGACCAGCGAATGAAAATCTGGTGGGTCGCTAGAATCATAAAAAAGTCATTATCGCCCCTTGGCACCCCGAGAAATTCCCGAAAGTCTGCGAAAAGTCCCCGAATCAAATCGCCCGACCAAAAAAAAATGGACCCCGGGGGGTTCCCCAGAAGTTTAAAAAATTGGCCCCTCATTTTCTTTGGACCAAACTTTTCCCGAAAGTCTGCGAAAGTCCAACAATACGCTGCAGGCCCAAAGAAAAAGGACTCTTAAAAAAGTCCCTAGAAGTCAAAAAAAATGATTATTTCCCCTTTTTACCAAAACCCTTTCCCCGAAAATCTGTGAGTGTCCAAGAATTTGTCGCAGACGACCAAAAAAGGGCTCTTTTGGGGGCCCTAGAAGTCCCCTTTAAATTTCA